TATGCTATAGCAAATGCATAAGGAAATGGACCAATCAATTTCCTTATGCTTATGCGTTATGCTTTATGCAAAAGCTTGTGCTCTCGGCTTAAGACCGAAGCATAAACCGGCCAATAGTCTGGGCATCGATCATGTAATTTTTCCCTAGAAGCGGAAACATAAAAAGTGAAAAGTTACACGTGAATTCAACGAATAGAATAGTCACTAGGATTTATGTATACAGAGTTGGTATACTTTCTGCTAAAAAAATCAAAAGAATTTAAAGGTACTTTAAATGGAAGAAAATAAAAGTAATAACACATTCCTTAAGTGTTATGATGATATATTGGTATGTCGCTACTTTTCTAACGGAGCTGCAATACATTGTAGTTTTAGACTTTCTCAAATTCCCAGCTATTGATTTCACCTTGCATGCTGCTGCCTTTGGGAATGCGATAAATGGAATTTTTAAACTGGAGGAAAGTAGTAATATTCAACCTAGCTGTACGCAAGATGAAATTTTAAAGAAACAATTGGCAATATATGATTATTTTATTCTGGGTGAAGCAGCCTACAAGATGCTTATGACGAGAAGTCACAAGGAAAGAAGATGGAATGTATGTTTTTAACAGGGATCTCAGGTTATTTTGCTTGTCCACAGTACGTTTTTACAAGAACAATATGCCAAACTCATAAAGTGCCCATATTTAATAATAAAAGGAGATCTTAAGATTTATGGCAAAAAGGAAGAAAATTTTTATAGAGCGTTGGAAATACTTGAAGCAAATAATGACAAGGTACAATTTGAGACTTTATCAGCAACACATCATTTTTATCTTACGTATATAGAAGCTGTAGCAGCTCTTATCAACCCATTTTTAGAAAAATATGATTTATCTTATAATAAACCAGTACTGTGTGATTCTTGTAGAAAAAAATTCAGATCTATAAGATTTTTTATAAGAATTACTACCAGACTCTTGATTAGTCATCTAATATTACTGTATGTGTGTGTGTGTGTGTGTGTGTGTTTGCCATATCAATTATATGTTTAAATTGATTTAGGAGTAGCATTCATGTTTTTTTAAATTTTTATTTTAATTATACTTAATTTTAGTATTTAAATTTAATATTTATTTATATGAGATTATTATGGTAATAATTTTGGGTCCTCTCTTTCTTGGCAGTCAATATGTTGACATAATATAATATTTATTTAATAAACTTTGAACTATATAGATGATTTTGTACATTGATTATATTAATTGATAAACTACAGTAACAATTTACACAATATTTTATTTCTTTTCAAGTTTTGTAGTATTGAGTAATCACACATACTAAGTAATTGATAATCTACTAATCTATTATGCTTTACATTTTGTCCCATACATTTCCTTAATTGAGTTTATACAATTTTATATACATATGTTTTATCAATATACTGAATCCGTTTCTTTAATCACTTTGAATTATTTAGAATCAACACATTCAATTTATAACAATCTGTAGAAGTCTCTCTCCGAATATATTTGTACAACTTCATAATGATCATGCTCAGAAAAATTAACTAATCACGCATTCAATATATGTATGTATATATATATAAAAAGTATGATATCCTTTATATTAGATATTAGAGAAAACAATTTTTTCAACAAGTGCGCGTTACGTAACACTACATGTACGCAAATCTGTTCGGTTTCAAAACATCGCATTAAACTGCGCATTGAAAATTAAGGTTGCAAACTCGACCAATCAGAAGAAAGAGAGCAGGTTCTTTCGATTGGTCTACTTCACGCGATTCTGGTGCAGTCTAACCTTCAATGCATAGTTTAATACAGCTTCAATAGTCAATAAAAAATGTTTTATTTTAATTAAAGTTATATGCGCGCGTGCTAACCTTAGTTCGTAGCTGTTTTTGTTTAGCTTTTAAACGCGATTGGAGATCAATCGACTGGTCGACTATCTCGTAAATTCTCGGAAGATCAATTGCGTCTTTTCGTAATATAAATAGAAAATAGAAAATAGAATACGATCGATCGCGAAGCAGTGCTGGTCACTCTGACCGTTTAACCTTTGACCGACAGGTTCATCCGTGAATCGTGCTTCTGGCTGTAATATAAATAGAGACAAAGGGAATGTAGTCATTCACGGTTGACAACCGACTAAGGCTTAGTCGACATTCTAGCCAGAGATCGCAACCGGTGAAATTTGTGAGTCGTTTTTTAATAGGTTAAGTGTGCTGAGTGTACGCAGTGCCTTCAATGTAAATTCACAATTTTTTTTTTTTTTTTTTTTTGTGACAGTTTCTAGTCAAAATTTTTGTGAGTTCAGCTGGCGTAGCCTGAAACCACGGGAAATACACCCCGCTGACGGATCTTGACGGTCACAGCTTTGCGGCATGGAAACTCGAAGCTGAACCCCGAACTCACCAGTAGGATTGTCGGGATTCGCAAACAAGATCCGAAATTGTCGCGTTCACGACGACGAGGACCACCGAATGGCCGACGTGGGCAACGACAGTCCGGAAACGTGAGTCGCGCGCCCGTGACGGCTCGTGCGACTGTGCGACGACAGCTCCGATTATCGCGGACCTAACCCAGCCCGGAGCTGACCGAGCGTCTCTCCGCGCACTCCTCTCGCCTACCGATCGGTGACGTATACACGGCGGCGGCAGCGGCCGTCTCGCGACCGTGCGTCTTTCGTGCTCGTTCCTAGTCGGCCAGTATGTCGACACGATGCGCGTAGTCCGCGCATGAGTGCACGCGAGTCCTCACTGTTCTCTTTCTCTCTCTGTCTCTCTTTCTCTTTCTCTCTCTCATTCTCACCTTTTCGCTCTCTCGACGGCTAAATCAACTCTGCTGAGGGTCCCGCGAAGGATGACCGATCCTAAAATTGAGATGCACTACACGCCGCCGACGTCGGACACCATTCAGACGAAGCCGTTCCCGATCCGAGGTAATATTCTCAGTGTCTGCTTCTGTGTGCGATTATATCTCTCACTTGCCCTTTGTTTCCCCTCCGTACTTGAGTGATCAGACACGTGCGACGAACGTGAGCTCGCGTTCGCGGTTGCGTTTCGAAGGAAGTTCAAGGTCGCCGATCTCGCGGTCAATGTACCGGGTGTCTTTTTCCTGGCGAGCAATTACCGCGCTTTCCGTAGTCTCGCGATCTCGTCCGTGAAATTCCGCACGGGAAGTACAGACCCGGCGCGCAGGCCAGAAACACGTGTCCATTATCTGTACGAGGAAAAAACTTTCGGAGCATCTTGTTAAATCAAGGGTGACAAAATGAAACAAAGAGGTAAAATATAAGGACAGACTTCTTTAGCCGCTATTCTCTTACAGAGGAAAATTTTAAATCTGTCGCAAATGGGGAAACCGTCTTGACACGCATGGTGTTTGGATTACGGGAAGATAATTTGTAATCTATTTTTGTGTCATTTTTTTTCTCTTTTTTGCCAATAAAACCTGTAGCAGCCGAGACATATAAAAGCGAGCGTAATAAAGAAAAAAAAATCTTTGCTATGATTTTCAATTCATTGACAATCGACCTGTTTTTTTCTTCACATTTATGCACAAAGATGAACACTTTGATGCGGTCGTATGTATACATAATTGTATTCAAGGAAGTAGGCTAGTTAGATAAATCGTTCCGGTGAAGATAATGCGTCAAATTCGCTAAAAAAAACTCGCCGCGACAAAAAAAAAAATAACATGCCAACCGGATCTAAAAATTCATGGATGCTCACGTAGGATGAATGAAAAACAATGTCGTGCGATAAAGCGACACTATTAACGCCGAGTCGATAAGACTTGATCACTTAAAATTGTGTGCACTATCGCTATTCTCTATTTTTCTCTATCTGACCTATATTTTTTAGAGAGAAGCTAACGTAAGTTTGTCTATATATTGTAAATTTAAACCCTTCTAACAAGATTATTTATCAGTAGCTCATGATGAGTGAATAATATATTTTTTTGTCAATGCAACAATTTTGTCGATGACAATGTACAGCACCTTTTTGATACAATGATTTATTTTGATAATAAATTATTCCGATTTAAAGGAGATTGATATATGGAAAAAACCGCGTCGGGCAAATTCCAAAGTATCTTATCATTATTAAAGTATATCTCAATGTCAGATTGGTGATTAAAATTGAAGTAAATTTCAATAGTGATGAGACATTATGCGTTACACACGTTGATTACAACGCGAAAGACGCCAAATTCGACGAGAAACGATTTTCCGCGTCTACTTATTAGTATCCGATTAGATTCAGTCTCGTATGAATTTGTCGCGCGTTTAAGCCACTTGTATAGTGTGATGTAATCACGAAGGTCTTTCATAAAATTTAACAAAATGCGACGGCACAAACATAGATAATATCTAAATTATAAGCTACAATCTGTACAAAACTATATATTGATATAATATTACGAATTGAGAACGGATTCTGAAAACTATTAAAATTAAAATCGACAAAACACATTTAATCTCGAGACGTTCTATTAGTTAATAGTTTGATAATCGATGTTTTTTACGAATTCCATCCAATATGTCGAGATTATGGTCTACAGCATTTTATTTCTTTCTTGCAGGTGAACGCGCAAATTTCGTCAACAAGCCTCATGTGATCGCAATGGTTGGCCTGCCGGCTCGCGGCAAGACCTACATATCCAAGAAACTATGTCGTTACCTCAATTGGATCGGCATCAGCACGAAGGTCTTCAATCTGGGCGAGTACAGGCGGCACGCCACCACGGCCTACCAATGTCACGAGTTTTTCCGTCCCGATAACATAAAGGCCATGGCGATACGCACGCAGTGTGCGAAGGACGCCCTGAACGATGTCTGCCACTGGTTGGAGAGCGGCGACGGCGAGGTAGCCGTATTCGACGCCACCAATTCTACCGTCGATAGACGTCAGCTCATACGCGACATTGTCGTTCACAAGATGGGTTTCAAGCTCTTCTTCGTCGAGTCGGTGTGCAACGACCCGGAAATCGTCGAGCAGAATATCATGGAAGTATGTGCTTTGGAAATAGCAATTGAACGCTACGATAAAAATCTACATATGTAGTTGAATTGATGTTGACGGAATAATGACATATCCCAATTTTGGAGATACTATCGGTATGATAAAGTGAACATTCATGCTGTGAAAGTATATACGTTTGTGATCTGAGACACATATTTTAGAAGATTCTTATTCTTTTTATTCTTATTCGAAATTAATTAATGCCTCACGTGCGATTTCTCTGTCGCTCAGGTGAAAGTCAGCAGTCCGGATTACGCGAATATGAAGAAGGAGGATGTGCTCGCGGACTTTATGCTGCGAATCGAGCACTACCAGGAGCGATATCAGCCGTTGGACGAGGAGCGCGAGAGCGACCTGTCGTTCATGAAAATATACAACACCGGCGAGAAGGTGCTCGTCCATAAGCACGAAGGCCATATACAAAGTAGAATAGTTTACTATCTTATGAACATTCATATTGTGCCACGCACGATTTACTTGACCAGGCATGGTGAGAGCCTGATGAACCTCGAGGGCAGGATAGGCGGCGATTCGGATTTAACCGAGCGGGGGCGCGAGTATTCGAAGGCGCTGGCAGATTACATCGCTGATCAGAACATACAGGTAATCCTTTTCCGACTCGTCTTCATCTTATACGTATGCCCGTGTATTATTATTCTACAATCGGCTGCGATGAAAATGGTCCAACTGATCAATATTCTTGTATTGCCAGTTATTAAAAGTCTGAAGATAACAATTCGTGTAGCAATTTGTTACATAAACACTACATATTTAACGATCGAATATTACGTAAGAGCTCCGCTTGTACTCCACATCTCGCTCCAATCGCTCGGCTCCAAGCGATTACATTCCATATTATGATAAACAGCTGTCTATTTGCATACAGGGTTTGAGAGTGTGGACTAGCTGGCTGAAGAGGACCATCCAAACCGCGGCCGACGTGAAGGCGCCGCAGGAAAGGTGGAAGGCTCTCAATGAAATCGACGCCGTGAGTTGAAGTGTTAAATTATTCAGCCGATAAACACGTTAACTGATTAAATAATCAGTCGCTTATCTGTGCTTCTTTGTGAATCATCCCAGGGTATTTGCGAAGAGATGACTTATGAGGAAATCGCGTCCAAGTATCCCACGGACTTCGCCGCGAGAGATCAAAACAAGTTTTCGTATCGCTATCCGCGCGGGGAGAGTTACGAGGATCTCGTCGCGCGGCTGGAGCCTGTGATAATGGAATTGGAACGTCAGGGTAACGTGCTGGTGGTTAGTCATCAGGCAGTTCTACGCTGTTTATTCGCTTACTTCCTGGACAAGAGCGCAGGTCAGTAAGATATTTTACGAGGCTCTCACACATGAAGGAAATGATTCAAACATAGTTGTCGACGCCTGATATTTAACATGCTTGACGTCCGAGAGAATGGAGATATTGGAATATCGGAGTTGTCGCGCACAACTCTTCACCTTCGACGTATCGCAACCTCGAGAAAATAAATGATAAACACTCGTGCATGCGAGAGCGGCTTGTAGTGACGTAATTGTTCGTTTCATCGTGTCGCGGAGATCTCGGCTCGTTCTCTCATCCACGAAATCTCGTTATCGATTCCGTGCGATCTCTCCTCTTTTTTTAACACGACATTGACATTGATTTGCGTGAGAAGGCTTACGTGCAAAATGTCGTGCAAATTTTTTTGGAATATCGTACAATTGGTCCAAGTTACTTTCCTTCTATTTCAGATGAATTGCCGTATTTGGAAGTTCCTTTGCACACCATCATCAAACTAACACCTGTCGCTTACGGTTGCAAGGTGGAGCACATTCGACTACCGATAGAAGCCGTGGACACTCATCGGCCGAAACCAAAGGTAGAAACAATCATAACAAATTCGTAGTACTTGTCCGTTTCTCCCCCCGGCATATTGTTAACGCGCTTTGCTTGCCAATAATTAGAGAGACAGTGAATGCGAGTATCTTTCCGTTTGCTTGCCAATTTTGACTACTACACCGTTTAAAGATTATAATTCCTATGCGATGCTTATGTTTTAATGTTCCCAGAGCGCCTGTTAGCTGTAATGGAAAATGGACGATTTTCTTGTATCTAATTGAAATCTCATCCTAGAATCATCTGCATTCGTCAAAAAACAAAATCTTTTTCATCAAGTTAGATATTCGTTGCATCTTTTCCAAATCTAGATTTATGTAGACAAGCATAATATTTGTGTGTTGGAATTTTATGTTTTAAAATTTTATATTTTTAGATCGCTTTATAGATGAATATATAATTTATAAAATAGTATATTTCTCGAATATTGTGTAAAAAATTACAGTCCTAACCGTATACACACGCACGCGCGCACACACACACACACACACAGAGGTTTTTACTAAAAGATTGTTAATCATTTACAATTGTCCGTGCCATCTTTCATAATAAGCATTAATATTATGATGTCATTATGATGCTATGTGTATATTATCATATTAAAACGATTTATAGCGATACGGTGATAACTGTTTCAATCTTACTTATCATTGTGTAATAGTTTAATATAATTATATAAATAGAATTACATATATGCAACATGCAGCGATCAGAAAAAAAGCAGGATTTAAAAAATTGCAATTTTACACAATGGAGTTAAACGATACATTTTTAAGAATTGTACATTTCGATTACGAAGCGAACTGCTAAGAAAATGTGTACTCATATATTTCAATCCATCGAAAAGAATTAAATTTCAATTATGCATGATAGAACTAAATAATATATATACTTTCAAAGCCAATTGTACTTTTGGAACGTGTCACGTCTTTGTGTAAGACATAATAATTAATAACGACGCTGCGATGGAAGATTATTCATTAGAGATCAAAGATTAAAATGTTGTAGCAGTGATTCTAATTCTGGCATGACAATAAAAAAAGTCTCTTCGCAATAAACCTCCGTGTAGAACGTATATCCTTGATAGAATGTTACATCCTTCTCAACGACGCATGTGTAGATCGTTGCATCTCCTCCGCAGCATATGTTGGCAAATGCTAAAATGCCCGTTGTGAAACTTTCAATTTTCAGATCCCGGGATATCTAGAAGAACGATTCCGAGGAAACGGAAAAGTACTACGCACGTGATAACAACGATTTCGTAAGCACGGCGCAGCTATTTCCTACCGTTGACATAACGCTGAAGCAGCATAGATTCGGCAGCTGGCTGCCAACCTACCCCATACGTAAACCAGCGCATCCGAATCCTTCCTTCCTACGTCAGACAGTATAGAGACGAGACGTACCGCAATAACAATGTTGACAGTGTATCCTATGAAATAGACACAGACAGGAAGATTCTGCGACAGTTCAAGTTCTGCATGACGACAGTGCGTGTGTTATGTGATTTTTATATTTTTCGATTGGCGTCTAGGTAGGTAGCAAAAAAAAAAAAAAAAAGAGAGGAAAAAAAAGGAAAAGAAAAATGTATGTGATACAAGATGATGATGTGCATATGCGCCCGTAGACCGTACACTTTTAGGTAACATTTCAGATATTGAATTTTTCTGAACCTTATTGTTAGCAATACGACGAGCGTCAAGTCGCGCGTTTTGAGATCTTTCCTCTTACCGGAAACATGCGAGACAATACACACAAACACACATATATCTATGGAGCTTCGGGAGATGAGATGTGTGTATGCGTGTGTGAAACTAGGAAAATCAGATATTGAAAGTGCACAAGCTCTACTGTACACGATTCCAAAACAGTCTTCTATCTTATTCTGGTTCGGTGAATGCTTCAACACACCTTGTTTGCGAATTTGCAGTACTTTTATACGCATTATCGTTTGAAACATTATTTCGAAATTACCCTCGGATCAAGTCAAATGCTTCTCCGCGGGGTGATTCGAGGCAAATCCAAATGTTGTGAATTGTGACGTTGATAATAATACTCGTAAAACTATTGATATGTTTGATCATGCGATATAATACTTCCGAATAAGCTACCGAAAATATAAAATTTCAGTCTTCTATTCTTCGTTATCTAATACATACGTTATACAATCTCGTATATTAAGCAGTTGAATTACGGATTTCGATTACCGATACGTATGTATCTCAATCACTGAGAAACATAATAAATAACACATGCAATTTTATAAGTTTATCCATTGATTAAAATTCCTGCTTGATAAATTAGAAGAAATATTTATTATGCTTCCATGAAAACCGATACACGATTTTATTCTATGCATTGTATTCCCTCGCGATTAAGTATTTTAAAATTTTGAGAAGATTACTTGGAAAAGAAAATAATGATGCTTTCTGAAAGGTACCTCTGTCCATCTATATAAGAAGGGAAAGCACTTTTGACTAGTCAGTATTACTTCGTGTTTGTCAATAAGTAGTATGTTTGCGAAATACTCAGAGGTATGTAACGCCTTTCTGGCTTTTTTTTTTTTATCGAAACACATTTATGATTTCGTATATTATACCAAGTTGATTTTTCTAATTATAATTAAATTGATTTCAATTAACACGTTGGTTATTACACGTTCGCCGTTGTATCGATACCGCTCTTCAGAGACCACGATACATTTTTTGTACCACTATCACGAATATATATACCGACATATTTTATAGCAATTTAAATCGTTCGATCGTGTGTATTAAAAAATTTAGCACAACGACTGGAGTGTCGTATGGCCTAAAACATAAAAAGAAAAGTTTTAACATTGCTAGCAGTCAACGTGTTAAACATGAATGTTGCTGTTCGAAATTCAAACACACAAACATGTAACGTTTTACAGATGGTTTAACGGTACATGACCTATTAACAATATTATTTTCCTCTTAAACATTCATATCTACACTAATCGCTAAATTCGAGGCGACATAACGTTTATAAAAATTCAATCATTTTCTTAGATTGTACAATTACTGCTATTATTGTGCATCATCATGCACAATTGTCGATCGTCGCCGATCGAGCCAGTCGTGAAATCACCTGATGAAGAAACCACGAATCAACCACAAATCGGTCGTTCGCCGAACGAAGACGATGCATCGAAATCCGACAAAGAAATTGACTTGCCTGAAAGCGTAAATTTTATCAACTTCTGGAAATTTCATCGGTATGCCGAGATCGAGCTAGAAAATCCGATGAAAATTTCATTGTTCCCTGCAAAAGACAGTGAGAGAAAAGGTGAGAAAAAGATTTCTTGTCAAGAGAGTGCAATCGTTAAAGTAAAAATATTATTTTATGAGACTGTCTTGATTTTATACAGTTAAGAAAATCAATGACAATGCGCAGCGGGAGGCAACTAATCAAACCGACATCAATAGCGATGCCCAAATTGTTCAAAATGTGACTAAAGAAAGCGATCAATCGTCTGACCAGGCTGATCAGAGCTTCTTCTTTAAAGATTTTGACGATCTGGCGTCTTTTCTACCTGATCCTGAAGACCACAAGCCGAAGCACAGGGTACCAAGAATGCAAGTGGCTAGTTATAATTGTAATGGCATTTTAAACAAGCTACTTTGGCTTAGATTTATAATGTGCTTCGATCCGACCACGCCTAACCCTTTTGGATTGTAAATTGATTGATTGAAGCAGAAAGACAAAGTGAATATAACTCAAGCAATTCAATTGATTATAAATTAACTGACGTTTCGATAACTATAGAATTAAATGTAACCAAGGAATTACATTAGGAATATAATCTCTGAAATAATAAAAGTGATTGAGTAGAAACAAGGATTTCCCTGTATAGACTTTTTTAAACATTGATTCCATTAAGTTGAAATTAGAATATCTTACTTACTGAGACATAAGAAGCGTAAAACACTTATTTTCGAAAATCATAAAATTTGCACAAAATATATTATAAACACACAAAATATTTCACGCATACTGATTTAAATACGTATTGTTCTAGTATTGTAAACATGTTTAGAAAATAAAAATTTGAGCAAGGTTAACTGCCTCTGGCTTTTATAGCTTTATTTATTCTCTTAAATTATTGTATGATGGACGAGCCACGAATACTAAATTAAATTATTTGATTATTTTATGGGAGATTCACATTGCGTTAATATCCATTTGCTATCCAATAAAAAATATATTTTTCTAGGATAAATCTGGTGTTAGACAGAGAATATAAAAAAAAAAAAAAATTTTTTTTCTATTGGTCATTGGTACATATCAGACATCGCATACAATACGAATTCTTCGTAAGAACACTACACATAACAACATAACAAGCGGTCATAATGGCGGTTCCCTCGGTTTCGCTAAATACGCGAAATAAAAAGCACTTTTTGGGCGTACCGGCACCTTTGGGATATGTTGCTGGTGTTGGCAGAGGGTAAATTTTAACGCAATACATGATACATATAAATATTAATACAATTGTCAACTATGAGTGTAAAAATTATGATTTGAATGTATCTAACCTCTCTTTTTACATTGTAGAGCTACAGGATTCACGACACGGTCTGACATCGGTCCTGCTCGAGATGCTAATGACGTTTCGTAAGTAGAAAAAGTATATTTTCTTTATGACTTGAATAATACGTGAAACATACAAAGTATTATATATTACATTTTATTCCGAATACAGTGATGATAGACATGCACCACCCACAAAACGTGCGAAGAAGAAGGAGGAAGAAGAGGAAGATGAGGAAGACTTGAATGATTCAAATTATGACGAGTTTTCCGGATATGGAGGTTCTCTTTTTAGTAAGGTAAGTACTAAAGAATACTACTAGTCAATGCTAGAAGTAATAATGTTGTGATAATGTCAGGATCCCTATGACAAAGATGATGAAGAAGCAGATGCGATTTACGAGGCTATCGACAAACGTATGGATGAGAAGCGTAAAGAGTACAGAGAGAAGCGTCTCAGAGAAGAATTGGAACGCTATCGGCAAGAACGTCCAAAAATCCAGCAGCAGTTCTCAGATTTAAAAAGGGAATTGGTCAATGTAACAGAGGACGAATGGAGAAACGTTCCCGAGGTGGGAGACGCTAGGAATCGTAAACAGCGTAATCCAAGAGCGGAAAAATTCACTCCATTGCCAGATTCGGTGCTAGCGAGAAATTTGGGAGGTGAAACGTCTACCAGTATTGATCCGTCTAGCGGTCTAGCCTCCATGATGCCAGGTGTGGCGACACCCGGTATGCTAACCCCGACAGGAGATCTTGATCTTCGGAAAATTGGACAAGCTAGAAACACACTGATGAATGTGAAGTTGAATCAGGTTTCCGATTCTGTGGAGGGCCAAACCGTGGTTGATCCAAAAGGTTACCTTACAGACTTGCAGAGCATGATACCTACTTATGGTGGTGACATAAAGTAAGTGACTATTACATCTCTAAATTGCTTTGTTTAATTTGTAAGCAGATGTTTAATTTTTTGTTCTTGTTTTCGCAGCGACATAAAGAAAGCTAGATTGTTATTGAAATCCGTCAGAGAGACTAATCCAAACCATCCTCCCGCGTGGATTGCGTCAGCGCGTTTAGAAGAGGTGACGGGAAAGGTCCAGGCAGCGAGAAACTTAATAATGAAAGGTTGCGAAGTGAATCCCACTTCAGAGGATTTGTGGCTGGAAGCTGCGAGACTGCAGCCTCCGGACACGGCGAAGGCGGTGATAGCTCAGTCAGTGCGACATATTCCGACATCTGTTAGAATCTGGATAAAAGCCGCAGACTTGGAGATAGAAGTGAAGGCGAAAAGGAAAGTGTACCGAAAGGCGTTGGAACACATCCCGAACTCGGTGCGATTGTGGAAAGCAGCCGTCGAACTGGAGGAACCCGAAGACGCGCGTATCTTGCTCAGCCGTGCGGTCGAGTGTTGTCCGACTAGTGTAGATCTATGGCTCGCTCTCGCTAGATTAGAGACTTACGACAACGCGAGAAAAGTGTTGAACAAGGCCCGAGAGAACATCCCGACCGACAGACAAATTTGGACTACCGCTGCAAAGTTGGAGGAGGCGAATGGCAACAAACACATGGTGGAAAAGATCATCGATCGCGCCATATCCTCGTTGAGTGCGAATGGCGTAGAAATCAACAGGGAGCATTGGTTTAAGGAAGCTATGGAAGCTGAGAAAGCAGGAGCGGTGCATTGTTGCCAGGTTATCGTCAAAGCTATTATCGGCTTCGGAGTGGAAGAGGAGGACAGGAAACACACTTGGATGGAAGACGCGGAAACCGTAAGGTTTCTTATTATTTCTCTATCATTTTCAAGTTGTTGAGAATGATGTGAATATTTCTGCAGGGATTAATTTGCATATATTTAAGAATATGTTATTTGCAGTGTGCTCAACAAGGAGCATTGGAATGCGCCAGAGCTGTTTATGCGTATGCATTAACGACGTTTCCCAGCAAGAAATCAATTTGGCTGCGCGCAGCTTATTTTGAGAAGACATATGGAACGCGAGAATCTCTGGAAGCACTGTTGCAAAGAGCAGTCGCCCATTGCCCTAAGAGCGAAGTGCTCTGGTTGATGGGTGCAAAATCAAAGTGGTTGGCTGTGAGTTCATTCACATACAAACTTTTGATTCGCATTTAATTCGACCTTTATTTCTTTTTCATTCTCAATTTCATTTTTCTTTTCAGGGCGACGTACCAGCAGCTAGAGGTATTTTGTCTCTCGCCTTTCAAGCTAATCCGAATTCCGAAGAGATTTGGTTGGCTGCTGTAAAACTCGAGTCCGAAAACTCGGAATATGAAAGAGCGCGACGTTTATTGGCGAAAGCTAGAGCCTCGGCGCCGACACCGAGAGTGATGATGAAAAGTGCCAAGTTGGAGTGGGCTCTTAACAATCTTGAAGCTGCGTTGCATCTTTTAAAGGAGGCCCTCGAAGCTTTCGACGACTTTCCTAAGTTATGGTTGATGAAAGGTCAAATTGAAGAACAGCAGGGCCATCTGGACAAGGCGATAGAGACGTACAACCAGGCGGTAAGTGATCTTTCACGCAAATTTAATGTAAGTGCAAGCGCGTGTATAAAGACAAATTTTTTTGTATATTTTGCAGATTAAGAAATGCCCAAATTCGATACCTATATGGCGTCTGTTGGCTCAATTGGAGCATAGGAAGAACCAAGTGACCAAAGCGCGTTCAGTTCTAGAGAAAGCCAGGCTTAAGAATCCTAAAAATGCGGAATTATGGCTGGAATCTATACGGAACGAATTGAAAAGCGGTGGTGTGCGCGATATGGCGAATACGTTAATGGCTAAGGCGTTACAAGAATGCCCCACATCTGGTCTACTCTGGGCGGAGGCAATTTTTATGGAACCACGACCTCAACGAAAAACTAAAAGCGTGGACGCTCTCAAGAAATGCGAACATGATCCACATGTTCTCTTGGCAGTATCAAAGTGAGTTTACGTTTATTTAAGTTGTAAAAGCATTTAATTACTACTTATTATTTAGGGTGTAAAAGTAATTTACATCCTTTTACATTCTAAATAATTGGAGTGAAAAATGATGCGAAAATTATACGAATTTCTCCGTTACAGATTATTTTGGTGCGAGCATAAGATTTCAAAGTGCAGAGATTGGTTCAATCGGACGGTGAAGATAGATCCAGATTTAGGCGATGCGTGGGCATATTTTTATAAATTCGAATTATTAAACGGCACGGAAGAACAGCAGGAAGATGTAAAGAAGAGATGCATCGCTGCGGAACCTCATCACGGCGAACATTGGTGCAAAGTTTCCAAAGATATAGCAAATTGGTGCCTGAGTATAGATCAGATCTTAATATTAGTAGCAAAGGAATTGCCCATTCCCATATAAATGAAAATTTAATTACGACACAATTCTGAAAAACTATTTGCAAAAATGTCTTACTATAAGTTTGTAAATAAAATCAAGGAAAGGTCGATTGATTTTAATCTTCTGCTGTCTTGTATTATTTATTAAAGGTACTATATGTTAAGTGTATTGTGTGTATATTAATTATGTATTTGTACGAGAGAAAATAATAATAATAATTATGTTAAAAGTACAGGACTACGATATTCGAATAAGTTTGAGCAACAATGGCATTTTTAATAATTTTTTTTTAAATTACTGGATGAAAGTAATTGGTTTTTTTATTGTTGCTCTTAGATGTGTGCTTCCTCTTGATAAATGGTATATATCGCGCATGCGCAATGAGTCGACTTTTCGATACAACGCTCCATACGCTTTTAAGGTTATGAGTAAGACTATGAATCTTGTAGGCCTGGAAGAAATATTAGTTTTCTTATTAACCGTGTTCTTAGCCGTGTTGAGATAAGCAGCATTTAGTTTCGACGCAAAGGTAGCTATTCTAATTTGTCAGATTAATATAAAAAAGGAGAAATACAAACTATAATCAGAATAATTGCAGCACGAGAAATCAAAGATGTGGCATGTTTACAGGGTTAAATTAGTTTCGTTTCTGTATGGATAACGATTCTTTCAGCCAAAAAAACAGAAGCAAACGCATTGTTGGTGACAATGCTGCGCCACAATGAGAAATCTGTATAATGTCAAATAGGTATAGCGAAAATTATACGATATTTCTCGTAACTTAACCTCACTTTTTCGCTTGCGGTTAATAACCAAATTGTTTTTTCAGTTATTAGACGATAGACATCTAATGAAATTGCTATGTTTTACACCTTGATTTATACATCCAAAACAATGTCGAGTACGGTGATGCAACAGTTTGTTCAACGACTCAAGTCGAGAAATGACGAGGCACGTAATAAAGCGGCACGCGATTTGTGTCTGTACGTTAAGAGAGAATTGCGAGAAGCGTCGCAGGAAGAGATTACAGCTTTTATGGACGAATTTAATCATCATATATTTGAAATGGTATCCGCCTCTGACATAAACGAGAAGAAAGGTGGTATACTAGCCATAGTTTGCCTTATAGGAGCAGACGTAGGTAATTTTAACACACGAACGGTACGGTTTGCCAATTATCTTAGAAACTTGATACCTTCCAATGACGTGGGCGTTATGCAATTAGCCGCAAAGACTGTTGGAAAGTTGGCATTAGTATCGGGCACTTATACTGCCGAATATGTGGAATTTGAAGTGAAACGTGCCTTTGAATGGCTTGGCGCAGACAGACACGAGGGTAGAAAACACGCCGCCGTGCTCGTGCTGAGGGAACTCGCTGTCTCTGTGCCAACGTACTTCTTTCAACAAGTCACGCCGTTTTTCGAGTTGATATTCAACGCTATACACGATCCTAAACCTGCTATACGAGAAGGTGCTGTGGAAGCTTTGAGAGCAGCGCTTATAGTCACCGCTCAGAGAGAAACGGCGAAGCAGATGCACAAGTCCCAATGGTACAAGCAGTGCTACGACGAAGTGATAGATGGATTTGCAGAAGTTCACACTAAGGAAAGAGGCATCAATAGAGACGATCGAATACACGGCTCATTGCTGGTACTGAATGAGCTTCTGAGATGCAGCAACGTGCAGTGGGAGAGGAATTATGAAGCTCTAATGGAGAGATTGAACGGTTCTACGCAAAATGAAAACGATATACTTTCGTTGATGCCACGCCTGAAGACAACAATAGTGTCCAAGTGGGCCGGTTCTACTCAGAACGCCTCCGCGTCTCAACATACATTATATCCGGCGCACGAATCAGCGGTTTGCAGGTGTCTGATGCAAGAAAGGCTGGACGATATTTACAACGACGTTATGAATCAGAAGATATCTAGAAATCCGCATATTCAGCACGCTCTTATGATGCTACTACCGAGACTCGCTGCGTTTAATAAGGAAAAATTTATCAAGGAACATCTGAAGGAGTCTTTGGCGTATCTTCTGTTGATTTTACGCAGCCGCGAGAAGGACCGCTACGCCGCCTTCACGTCGATTGGTTTTATAGCCGTGGCGGTGGAAGACGCGATAAATCCGTATCTTCCAAAAATCATGGAAGTGATCAAGAGCTTGTTGCCGTCCAAGGAAACGCCGAGCAAGAAACGCATCACTCTGGAACCGGCGGTATTCGTCTGCATTACTCTGCTCAGTCACGCGGTCAAGCAAGTCATAGCCTCCGATGTTAGAGACTTGTTGGATCCCATGTTTCAAACGGGATTGAGCCCGATATTGACGACGGCGCTGAGAGAACTGGCGCACAGCATTCCGTCTTTGCAAGTGGATATATCTCAAGGTCTCTTGCGAATGTTATCCCAGGTGTTGATGCAAAAGCCGTTGAGACACCCCGGAGCTCCGTGGACGGCGAGCAGCCCTAACGCCACAGCGGACGACGTCTCGTCGACGGTACTCGCGCTCAAGACTCTCGGCACGTTCAACTTTGATAATAATCCGCTGTTGCAGTTTGTCAAGAGATGCGCGGAGCTTTTGACGTCGGAACAGGCGGAAGTCCGGCTGGAAGCTGTGAAGACGTGTTCCAGATTACTGAGATTAACGTTGAATCAGTCTGGTCCTACAGTGACCACCACCGTCTCGACCGTTCTCGACAAACTGCTGGTGGTGGGTATCACCGACACGGATCCCGATGTTCGTCTGTGGGTGTTGGCCTCGTTGGACGATTCCTTCGATGTGCAGCTGGCGCAGGCGGAAAATTTATCCGCCCTGTTTATCGCTATGAACGACGAGATGTTTGAGATAAGAGAACTGGCGGTTCGCACCGTCGGGCGACTCAGCACGTTAAATCCTGCTTACGTCATGCCGTCGTTGAGAAAGACTTTGGTGCACTTTCTCACGGAGTTGGAGCATTCGGGAATGGGCCGTAACAAGGAGCAGGCCGCGCGGATGTTGGATCATCTGGTTGTCACCGCGCCGAGACTCGTCCGACCGTACATGGAGCCAATCTTGAAGGTCCTCGTACCGAAGCTGAAGGAATCCGATCCGAATCCCGGTGTAATACTGGCCGTTCTGCGCGCGATCGGTGACTTGGCAGAGGTGAACGGCGCCGAGATGCAGCAATGGATGCCCGAGCTCTCGTCGATATTGCTCGAGATGCTGGTGGATGCCAGCTCGCCTGAGAAGAGGGGAGTGGCGCTCTGGGTTTTTGGCCAGTTGGTGGGTAGCACGGGTCACGTGGTGAAGCCGTATATGCAGTACCCGTCCCTGCTCGACGTGCTCATTAACTTTCTCAAGACCGAGCAGCAGCCGATCATCAGGCGGGAGACTATCAGAGTGCTCGGATTGTTGGGCGCGTTGGATCCTTACAAGCACAAGATGAACCTCGGGCAGATCGATTGCCAGCTGGACACGCTCACCTCGATGGCCGACACCAAGTGCGACGTGGAGAATACTCAGGACCTGACGACCAGCGAGATGCTGGTGAACATGTCGCCGTCCACGTTGGAGGAGTTTTATCCGGCGATCGCCATCACGACGCTCATGAGAATCATTCGCGAGCCGACCTTGTCGCAGCATCACACCATGGTCGTACAAGCTGTGACCTTCATATTCAAGAGTCTCGGTATAAAGTGCGTGCCGTACATCTCTCAGGTGATGCCGAGCTTCTTGAATGTAGTACATATGGCGGATATGAACTTTCGAGAGTTCCTGTTCCAACAACTCGCCGTTCTCATCGCCATCGTGAAGCAACATATACGCAACTACTTGGACGATATATTTGCTTTGATCAAAGAATTCTGGACTGTGAACAGTCCGTTGCAGGGCACGTTGATTCTTTTAGTCGAACAGATTGCGGTGGCTCTCGGCGCGGAGTTCAAGATCTACCTGCCGCAGCTGATGCCGCCGATACTGAGGGTGCTGACGCACGACAACAGCAAGGATCGCGGGGTGACGGTGAAGCTGCTTCAGGCTTTGCAGACATTCGGCAGCAATCTGGATAATTATCTGCACCTCGTTCTGCCGCCAATCGTGAAGCTGTTCTACGCGAACGACTGCCCGCTAGCCGTGAATAAAGTCGCTCTCGAGACGGTCGATTTACTGGCGGATACGCTGGACTTTACGGATTTCGCATCGCGAATCGTCCACACCCTGGTGCGTACGTTGGACCAATGCCCGGAGCTGAGAAGCACGGCCATGGACACGCTTTGCGCTGTCGTAATGCAACTGGGCAAAAAATATCAAATCTTTATCGTGCTGGTTCAGAAAATTATGACAAAGCACAAGATAGTCAATTCCAGGTACGAACTCCTTTTCATCGCTTTGTATTTGTTTTTCAACAGACGGAAGAAATCTCTTACTATCTATATGATTCTCCGCGCTCCGTGATCTTTGCAATCTTTCTCTAAAAGTAAATATTTTCAGGTACGACGTTCTAGTCGACAAAATTCTCACCGACACGACCGTGGCGGACGGCGAGGATTTCCTGCTGATGAGACTGCGACATTCGCGCAACAAGAATCGCGAGCTTTCCCTCACGCCCTCGGAAACAACAACAATCAAGAGGCTACACGTATCGGCTTCGAACTTGCAGAAAGCATGGACGGCAACGCGCCGAGTGTCCAAGGACGACTGGCTCGAGTGGCTGCGATGCTTCTCCATCGGTTTGCTCAAGGAATCCCCGTCGCCGGCTCTTAGATCGTGCTGGGCGCTGGCGCAAACATACGCCGTATTGCCACGCGATTTGTTTAACGCGGCATTCGTCTCGTGCTGGACCGAATTGAACGAGAATTATCGCACGGAACTAATACAGACTCTGCATCAAGCGTTGATGGTTCCGGATCTGCCTACCGAGGTGACGCAGACCATTCTGAATCTAGCCGAATTTATGGAGCACTGCGACAAGGGTCCTTTGCCGTTGGATAACAAGATCCTGGGGGATACGGCTATGCATTGTCGCGCATACGCCAAGGCGTTGCACTACAAGGAGGACGAATTTCACAAGAGCAGAAGCAGCAGCGTATTCGAGTCCTTGATCTCCATCAATAACAAACTGCAGCAAAAAGAGGCGGCCGAAGGCTTGCTGGAATACGTGATGAATCAACACAATCAGCAGGATCTAAAAGTTCAGGTACGTTGGTACGAGAAACTTCACAACTGGGACAAGGCGTTGCAGCTGTACCAGGAACGGCTTGAGAGCGACTGCACGGATGTGGAGTCCACCTTGGGACAGATGCGTTGTCTGGAGGCTCTCGGCGAATGGGGTCAACTGCACGAAGTTGCTACGAAACAATGGTCGAATCAAATGGACGATATCAAGCAGAGGATGGCGAGGATGGCAGCAGCCGCGGCGTGGGGTCTAGGTCAATGGGAGAGTATGCAGAGGTACGTCTCACTGATATCGAAGGACACGCAGGACGGAGCGTTTTACAGAGCGGTGTTGGCGATCCACGACGAGCAGTACAACGTCGCGCATCAGCTTATCGACAGTGCCAGGGATCTGCTGGACACCGAGCTGACCGCCATGGCTGGCGAGAGCTATCAGCGAGCGTACAATGCCATGGTGGAGGTGCAGAAGCTGGCCGAATTGGAGGAGGTGATACAGTTCAAGCTGGTGCCGGAACGGAGGGCGGCCATCAAGGCCATGTGGTGGGAGAGGCTTCAGGGTGGGCAGAGGATAGTGGAGGACTGGCAGAAGATCATACAGGTGCATACGTTGGTGGTTTCGCCGCAGGACGATATGTACACGTGGCTGAAATATGCCAGTCTTTGCCGGAAGAGTGGCAGCTTGATGCTGTGTCACAAGACACTGGTGATGTTGATGGGTATGGATCCCTCTTTGACTCCAGATCAGCCACTGCCGACGACTCATCCGCAAGTAACGTTCGCTTACTGCAAACACTTGTGGGTCGCGAACAAGCGCGAGGAAGCTTACGGTCAGTTGCAGCGCTTCGTGCAGTCTTACTTACAGCCAGCCACGTCAGCGATAATAAACCAAGAGGACGAGAAGCAGCACGAGAGCAAGAAGAGACTGCTCGCGAGATGTTACCTCAAGCTCGGCGAGTGGCTGGAGGCTTTGCAAGGCATAAACGAGCACTCCATTCCCGCGGTACTGTCTTACTACGCCGCCGCGACGGAACACGATCCCACGTGGTACAAAGCGTGGCACGCCTTCGCTTACACCAACTACGAGACAGTTTTATTCTACAAGCATCAACAGGGCAACAATTCCGCGGCTGCGGAAACCGCACCCGGCAATGGAGCGCGCAATAATCTCTCCGGCTCGCAATATATATCTCAATTCACTGTTCCAGCTGTCGAGGGGTTCTTCAGGTCCATCAATTTGTCGGATGGCAATTCCTTACAGGATACTCTCCGTCTGCTGACGCTCTGGTTCGATTACGGCCAGTCGACGGAGGTGAACGAAGCTGTTGTCGAGGGCAAGAGGTTAATAGAGATAAATACGTGGCTGCAAGTGATCCCGCAGCTCATAGCCAGGATCGATACACCTAGGCTGGTCGGCCGTAGCATACACCATCTTCTCATAGATATAGGAAAGACACATCCTCAGGCTTTAGTTTATCCATTGACGGTGGCCTCGAAGAGCGCCAGTCACGCGAGGAAGACCGCAGCCAACAAAATCTTGAAGAGCATGTGCGAGCACAGTCCGACGTTGGTTCAACAGGCGATGATGGCGAGCGATGAGCTCATCAGGGTCGCGATCTTGTGGCACGAATTGTGGCACGAAGGCTTGGAGGAAGCTAGTAGATTGTACTTTGGCGAGAGGAATGTTCGGGGCATGTTCGATACGTTGGAACCGTTACACGCTATGCTCGAAAGGGGGCCGCAAACTTTGAAAGAGACGTCTTTCAATCAGGCTTATGGAAGGGATTTAATGGAGGCGCAAGAATGGTGTCACAGATACAAAGCGTCTCGAAACGTCAGAGATTTGAATCAGGCTTGGGATTTGTATTATCACGTATTCCGGAGGATTTCTCGACAATTGCCGCAACTGACCAGTTTGGAACTGCAATACGTTAGTCCGAAGTTGCTGCTCTGTCGAGACTTGGAGCTGGCTGTACCAGGAAGCTACAGTCCCGGCCAACCTATAGTGAGAATAGCGAGCATTCATAGCTCTATGCAAGTGATAACTAGCAAACAGAGACCGAGGAAGCTGTGCATTAAAGGTGCAGTTGTTGTTGTTGTTGTTTGAAAGTAAATTCGATGAAAATGTTGCGACAATTAAATCTAAAAGTGTGGAACAAATAGCATTAACTTACTTTGATGTATTTTGCAGGTAGCAACGGTAAGGATTATATGTTCCTACTAAAAGGTCACGAAGATTTAAGACAAGATGAAAGGGTGATGCAATTATTCGGTCTGGTAAACACTCTTTTGTTACACGACCCGGATACATTCCGAAGAAATCTTACTATTCAAGTAAGTTTATATAATTATTGCAATAGAAATGGAAATGTCTCTATGTCTATGTGTGTGTGTATGTGAATTATACACTACTTTGTTAACTGGCGATTTTGTGTTTAGAGATACGCTGTGATCCCGTTGTCCACAAACAGTGGGCTTATCGGCTGGGTGCCGCATTGTGATACGCTTCATACTCTTATTAGAGATTACAGGGAGAAGAAAAAGATATTACTGAACATCGAACATAGGATAATGTTACGAGTAAGCAAGCAGTTACGAGTGTGCAACAGATTTTATATATAAGAATATATAACTTATTCATTTATAACAGAATGTAACGTATTGTAATATTTTGCGCGCCAACATCCGTGTTCTGTCGCTTTTTTTTTAATTTAAAAAAAATTTTTTTTTTATTTCATCAATAACCCTTAATTTTTGTAGATTATATTTTCTCTTTTCTCACAACTCATATCTTTCATCTTTTAGATGGCACCCGATTACGATCATCTCATGCTTATGCAAAAAGTCGAAGTGTTCGAACACGCGCTCGAGCATACGCATGGCGACGATTTGGCGCGACTTTTGTGGCTAAAGTCGCCGTCGAGCGAGGTATGGTTCGATCGCAGGACGAATTACACGCGCTCTCTGGCTGTGATGTCTATGGTGGGATATATACTCGGTCTTGGCGATCGACATCCGTCTAACTTGATGCTGGATCGTCTCAGCGGTAAAATCTTGCACATTGACTTTGGAGATTGTTTCGAGGTGGCGATGACGCGCGAAAAATTCCCGGAGAAGATACCGTTCCGGTTGACGCGAATGCTAATCAACGCGATGGAGGTGACTGGTATCGAGGGAACTTATAGAAGAACTTGCGAGTCCGTGATGTCTGTGTTGCATCGAAACAAGGACAGCCTAATGGCGGTCCTAGAAGCGTTCGTTTACGATCCTCTTCTCAATTGGAGATTGATGGACAATGCAGTGCCCAAAGGCAAGCGATCGGATGCTCAGGGTATGAGCGCCAGCAGCAGTCAGGAACATGGTGATATGCTGGATTCTCTTACCGCCACATTGCCAAAAAAAGGTGTACCGTGTAGCATCGAAAACGGAGGTAAAGATTATACACACATGTTTTAATTTACATTAATCAAATAATAAAATTATGAAATTTTTACCTTTACATTAATGCTTAACGTTATCATATTACAACATACATCACATTGATATCAAAGTATTGATAAAGGTCAAAACTTTATAAATCTTTTTGATTATAATTGATTTAAAAATTCCAGCTGTTAGGGATTTTAAATCATCTGTCACATCATTTTTATTCCATGATGTATGCAACATCTGTTTTTGCAATGTTCGCAGCTGATAATCAACCGGAAGCGCTGAACAAGAAAGCTTTAGCTATTATAACGAGAGTCAGGGACAAATTGACGGGACGCGATTTTTCGCACGAAGAGTCTCTCAGCGTACGACGACAAGTCGATCTATTAATCCAACAGGCTACGAATAACGAGAACCTTTGTCAGTGCTACATTGGATGGTACGTAATTATTTGAAGTTGGAAATTTTTGAAAACAACTATTTATTAGACATTCTATTATTTACAACATATGCATATCTTTTTTTTTGATGTTATATATGTATATAAACAATTCGCTTAGAAAAACCATTTGAATTTCTTTTGCAAGAAACAATTGTATAAATTATATAAAAAACATGCGTATAGATTTCATTATATTACAGGTGTCCATTTTGGTAAAAGTGAGATAAATCATCTCACCGAGGTGAAGCCAAGATGAAGTACTTATGCAATTACCAGCTTTTGCATTTATAGTCTTACAAAATTATTATTTACGTTTAACTTTATGATAATCGTATGATGTGTACATATATATAATGTATTATTGTTGGTTTGTATGTATAGAATAACGATCACAATCATAGTAAATAGATGTACAGATTAGCAACATCATATACATTACAGATCTTTAGTTGACGTCTTATGCATTCATAATTTTTTTTAAAGCTAGATTACGGTGCAATTACTTTTTTTTTCAGTGTTACGTCTAGTGATCGTTTTATAAATTGCAAAAAATTTATCCGTTGCAGGAATATATCTATTATATTGTTGTAAATAATACTTTTGCATCGTTTCCATCTTGAATCCATTGAAATAAAGCTTGAGATATTGAGTTATAAAATAAATAACAAAAGTCTACATTCAGTCCTCTCAACAAATGTTTGAATAAAATACATTGTTGGAAAAATCCAGCGCATTTTTGTTATAGCCTCTGAACATTATCACCGAATGGAAATAAATTACAAAGTGCTGTTTGTGTCGAACGGCGGCGATGGGAATAATTCATCCGTCCTAGTTCGCAGAACTTGTTTCATATCGGTTCTCGCCAAATAAATGGGTATGTTACCGAACTCGGCGATGACCTGTCTGCACACTCCGCACGGTGTGGTGAACGTGGTACTGTTCTGCTTCTCGGCGATTACAGCCAACGCTGTGAATTTTCTTTTCCCCTCCGACACGGCCTTTACGATCGCCGTACTTTCGGCGCACACACCTGCCGGAAAGGAGGAATTCTCCACGTTGCAGCCCCGCGAAATGCTGCCGTCAATGCATCGTAATGCTGCGCCGACCTTGAATTTGCTGTATGGTGAATACGAATTCTCGCGTACCAGTGCGCTCTCCCTTATCAGCTCTTGAATATCCGCATCTGTAAAACATATGTTTGTTAGCGAACTAATTTTACCTTATCAATCCACAGATGATTACGTTTAGTCGCAAGATAGATACGTTATATAATTAAAAATCATTCAAGAATGAAAGTTGAAAAGTTGTAATTTCTAATATAATTTAATTTTTGTCATCAGTTTTTCTTTTTGAACAGTTTATGAAAATTGTACCTTTAATACATTTTTTTTTAATCATCAGTTATGAATGTAGGATCAATTATCCCGCGCTATACAGTTCGTTCGATCTGATTGGTCGTCGTCTTTGCACGTAAGTAAAACTGTACAGTTTGCACCAAAAGTAAAGCTTATGGATGGAATCGACGTTTCGCGCGCACTCTAAGGACAATCATTTCAAATATAATAAAAATAACGCTTGATGTGCGCTCATTTAAACGTTAAGCAATTGCACGGTTTTACGCCAAAAATATATTGCATTACGGGTGTTTTATGTGGAAACTCCAATTTATAAGTGTAAGTTTTTATTGTAAAATATAATTGTGACAGTACGATATATCAAACGATGCGATGATATGAGATACACATTTTTATGTATATGATGATTTGACAGAATCGACAATTTTCGCTCGCAACAGCATTTTCGAGTTTATCGAGTGTGTTCGCGGATGTGATGTAATTCAATATCGATAAGATACGAACTTGTACTAATTATTCATTGAATAAAATTATGTCGCGCTAAAGTAAAATCTAAAGCATAGGTACTTATCGATTAGTTTGACGAAACAAAATGGTTTGCAAAGCAAACTTTGAATCACGCAGGATCGAACGATTGATTATTGATACGGTATGTTTTCTCTCTCTCTCTCTCTCTCATTAATTTATATATGCAGCATATAATAAATTGTCATAAACATGTTACATGATTGGTCATTTGAAAGGATTACTGAGCAGACTAAAAATTATATTTGCTGTGTTATATATGCAATTTTGTCATTTAGATTTTCTTCAGCGGTTCTTGCTGAGCGTGCGCGGTGAAAACATATGGAAATGAAACGGCGTGCACAGATAAAAACGCGGCGTGCACAGGTAAATATCATTGATGACTTTTAACAATTCCTGCTCGTCACACAACGATATTGCTCGACTAGTTAAGGGCGATCGATCGAGATTACATATGTTTACATCGGTGATGAGAGGAGGAAAAGTTCACTTCAGTAGAGACGAGTGTCCGCTTACCAAGCGTCGTGAAATCGATTATCTCCCCGATGTTCATTCTGCCAAGAATCGCTGGACTGTTGGTAAAATTCAGCGGCAACTAACGTCGATCCGTACACACCCGTGTCGACGACTGCCTAGGGTATTTAAGTCTAGAAGGCTCGTGAACATAAGAAAATAACTGGAGGGAGTGATCAAGCGAGAGGAAATAAACAAAAGTGGGAAGGGCGAAGTAGTGTACCTGATTGGCTGCGTCGTTTTGCAATCTGCCAAAGTGCTCTTCATGGCTCGCCGCTTGCCCAAATATTCTTGCGAATGACTGTATCACGGTTATTAATATGGCATACTTGGTGAAGAAGGAGGGAACGTGGTAAAAGGGATTTACTTTCCTCTTACGTCTATTCCCATCGCTCGATTATTCCTTGTCTTATAGATAGATTAAATCAAAGAAAAAAAGCTCGCCCGAATGGGACGCATTTTATTCGAGTATTCTTGCACCATGGAGCAAAGTTGCGTCTAATAATTTTTTGTACTTTTCCAACTATTTGCTAGATGCCAAAAATTATACACGAGCAGGTACAAGTTAGAAATTCAATTACAGATTATTGTAATATTAAATTATTCGATAAGAGTATAATTCTGAATTTTTCAATCAATTTTTTTAAGATAGTGATGACTCTCGGACTCTCATGACGAGCGAATATTTGGATGCAGTGCGCATGCTTCGAGTCTAAAACTACTGTTTTTATTAAGCGAAGCTCATGAAGGTAGAGGGAACAAGATTCGCTTGAAAAATTATAAATTCTAATATCTTTTAATAATATAATTAATTTTATAGTTGGCGCATGCGGTTTATATTTCCTCGATATAATTATCGGGTATAATCAATAACACGAGCGTAATTTCATTTATTCGTTGATATTGTAGGTTATATCTGAAAAAAATTATATAAGTAGCAATGATTAAAAAAATCTATCGATATGCTGGCGATAAAGTTTAATTTGCTATTACCAACAAAGAAAATCAAGTAAACATACAAATATCATAATGCAGTAAATTTACTTTTTTATGGAATAATCGTAATAAATAGAAATTAATATTAAAAGTTATCGTAAATTATTATTACGTAAATTTAATTTGTTTTTTTTTAACAAGTTTACATTGCAGGCTTATAATATATCTATTTTTATATAAAATTCCATCCCAAGCTCGCGGTCGTGAAATATCATCTAAAAGCAGAATTTATCACATATACGGGCTTCTTATATATTAAATTGTATTAAATTGTCCACAGGATTTAGCTTCAAAGTCTGGCCTGAATTATGGATCGTCTAAAATGGGCTTAAGTTACTCCCATCGATATGCCGGAGAGAGAAGGAGAGAAGAAGAGAGAAATAGAGCAGACGGAGAGAAATAGAGAGCGCGTGTCGACGCGCTTGTTGGTTGCTCAGCTGTTTTGAAGAATCGACGACGCAACGAAGTCGACTGGCCGTGACACGGCGCGAGACCACTGCATTCACGTCCAAACGCAAACAGATGTGGAGTGACTGTCCGAATTTCTGACACATCTCGGCCACGGGTATTGTCGCGCAACCGAGGAACACGTCCCTTTTTTTCGCATATACGCGCGCGGCAAGTGGCGAGTGTGAGTCCTCGAACTGAGGCCCGAGTTGAGCTGTGAGTCCTGACAGAACAACGGGTGGAATAAAGCTATCGCCATGAGTGAGCTGACTCAGGAGGAAGTGAGTAGTAAAATCGTGCAGCGTGTTCTTCTCGTATCTGCTACCTGACGACGATCCCGAGGTTGACGTATTCCCCTCAGCTGCGTGTTCGATACCTCTTCACAGTTTTCTTTCCTTCTCCTTTTCCCTCCAACAGTCAGATGTATGCCCGTCTCGTTCCGAGTGCAGCGAGTGTAACGCAGTACAGTTGAGGACAACAGACCTTCGATTTGTTGTCATACGGGGTCCATACCTTTCAACTGCACTCTTTGCATGTTTTCGCAATAGTTGCTTATCTTTTTTATTCTGCCGAAATTCTCAGTGTGCACTTTTTTTTCCTTACTTTGAGTACAGGAAATGTAACAAAATGTAGGAAAAAAAGAAAAGAAAAGAGACCAGATCCATTGTTCTCATTTGCTTTTAAAGGATGTTTCTCTTTTTGTTAGAAATAATTGTTTCTCTTGCCAATTGTAAATGAAGTAGCCCATGACCTAAAAAGACTAATTACATAATGCATGTGATGTAAAAGAACCTCATTAACTACTGAAGGCAAGACTTTGTGAACACTTGTCACAACGCACATTCTAAGATTATGTTCTCTTTTATTTCTCTTATTCACTGTAGTTTATTTTTCATTTCTTTCTATTCTTTACTTCTTTGTCTGCTTTCTGGCAGTATAAATTTCTATAATTAGTTTGCCGATAAAAATGTGACTTTTTACTTTATTCCTTAAGATTTATATTCTTGAATGATATTACTTTGAAATAGAGAGTTTTTTTAATTCTGATATTATTTAAGATATAATAAAGACTGTCTTTGTTTGCTTTCTTCTTTGTTGTTATTATAAGCTGCTGTATACAAAGTGTGTGTGATAAAAATAACTGCTCGGTAAGAAATATGACTCAAGCAAGAACCATGTTTCAAATTGTTTTTTCAATCTGTTTGAAACATCTTTTGTTCTACAAAGAAGTTAGTCTCAGATTTTCTGTTTTACTTTGATTTAGATGAGGAAAAGGCGGTTAGCCCGCTTGGCGGGCCTAAACACTAATAATGCAGCTGCCAGTTCATCCAATACTACTGCTTCAATTTCTCCGAGTACTCCAGGTCCGTCAAAAGCATTTACAGGATCAATAGTGTCTTCTCCGTCTATTCAACAACAATCAGCACAACGTGCTGAGATTCCAATGGAAGTGGAAGAAAGTAGCGACAAGCAGTGTAACACTTTTGGAGTAGACGTTGACTCAGGAATCGAGAATATGGAAGTTGAGGAATCCGATAGAAAAGATTCAATACCGAGATCACGTGTAAGTTGTGTGTGTGTGTGTGTGTGTAATGATGGAGAAACAAAAACACATTAATGAGAAACAAATATGCTTCTCTCTTGTGCATATACAATAAAGATGATGTCACTTTTCATCCGTCTTCATTTTTGTCATGTTTCAGACAACGAGTTCTAGCATAGAAATCACAGCAGATCACATATACGTTGTCATATCACGTGTCTTGTGCATATCGTGGAAAAATCCGACGGAGGGAAGTATATTCTTGCCGCAAACAGCAGCGTACACGCAAAAGTATAGACAGTTGGATTTTAGTGATATCATCAACCATGCCTTGATGGAGGTTTTGCGTATGTTCTCGAGAGGAGAAGATCCCCTGAAGGACGTCACGGTGGACATGTCGTCCGATCGCGAAGACAGTCCGAATAGCCAAGCGAGTCCTCTGTTAAGTCCTGTTGTGGCTCTTCCGTCTTATCAATTACCGACTATACCATTACCCATTGGCAACAAGTCATCGCAACCGAAAAGTTTCACTTATTTGTTAGATTGTTATTCAAGAGTCGCAATTGAGGAGAGAAATCATCCAAAGGTATGTACACACACACACATCGGTGGCACGAAAATCACGAAATTAGTTGATCTGTCGACTAAAATTTGTACGCATTTTGTAGCGGTCCAGCATACCTCCTCTTTCCGACGTACTAACGGCTCTCAGAGCTCAATGTGTTCAGTACTCCAGCCTCGTTCTGCAAGGATTGGTTGGCATTTGCGAAGCATCGGTTCTACCAATGTGTACCACTCATCTCCTTTATCCAATATTGTCGCAAAGCCTACCTCGCGGTTACCTCCACGAACTCGTGGCTAGGACACACATGAATCCAAGCACATTCAACAAGATCTTCACTCCCGTTCTGCAAGGTCTGTATCTTTCGATGCAGCAAGCGAGCTTGGTCGGCAATACGCACAGAAGACCGATCGAGGCGTTGGAGGAGTTGATAGAGATCCGCTGCGGGCCAAGCGGCAATATACGTCCGATTTGCCGTTTGATCACGAATCAAGTTCAGTTCTTGCATGTCGTCATGACGTCAGCCGCTGGCAGGGAACTCACGAGGACGTCATTTTTGGGACCGTTTCTATCGGTGTCGGTGTTTGCCGAGGAACAGCCGAAAGTGGCAGAGAAATTCTTTAGCGGAAATCCTGTCACGGATAAATCGGTGAACTTGACTTTGCAGCAGGAGTTGGAAAGCATCCGAACCTCGTTGCACAAGATGTTCCACGCAATACTCGCGAACAGCAACTGCCGCGACGCCACCCTGGCATACCTGGCGATGTTGCTTCGTTACAACGAGAAACGCGCGCAAATACAGACCGAGGAGTTCTCTCTGGCCGGTGACGGATTCATGTTGAATCTACTGTCGGTTCTGCAAATGCTCTCTGTGAAAATCAAGCTAGACACTGTAGACCCGCTGTATCCATTTCATCCTTCCAGCTTCATCGAGATAAAGAACGATACAAGACTGAAACTCACGTCGCAGGAGGTCGCGGAATGGCAGAAGCACTTGGAGAAGACGCATAAATGGACGGAAGCGAAGTTTCCGACTCAATGCTGGTTTCTCACGCTGCATTGTCACCACATCGCGCTGCTGCCGGCGCTGCAAAAGTATCAGAGAAAGTTACGAGCGTTGCGCGATCTGCAGAAGATGCTGGATGAGCTGCAAGCCACGGAACCCCAGTGGAAGGACAGCCCTTTCGCGGAACACAACAAAGACTTGATTAAACAATGGAAACAACAATTAAAGCGACTAGTTAAGTCCAAATCGTGCGCGGACGCGGGTCTGATAGATCCGGTCTTTTTGAGAAGATGCTTACATTTTTATATCTCTGTGGCTGAGGTCTTGTTGAGTCTTTTGACGCAGACCACACCGGGCAATCCTCTCCCCGAACTTCCGCTCCCTCAGGAAGTCACGTGCAAGTTTACCGCACTACCGGAATGGTACGTGGAGGATATAGCGGAATTTTTGTTGTTTGCGCTCCAGTAAGTTGTTTTCACTCTGTATATTATTTAACTCGACCGTTGCACCTGTTTTGCGTACTTGTGCGTCTCAATGATTCCACATTATCTCTTTACATTTGCAGATTCTATCCTGGAGTAGTGGCTAACAATATGGATAACTCGCTTATCACTTGGTTGTTGGTCGTCGTGTGTACGCCACATTGTATACGAAATCCATACCTAATTGCAAAAATTATCGAGGTTCTCTTTGTGATAAATCCTAGTGTTCAGGTGAGTTTACAAGTTGAAAAAGTTTAATTTCTCTTACAAGCTTGTTAGACTGTTGGACAATTTTGTACCTTCTTTTTTGCAGGGAAGAACGGAAACTCTTCACGATAAAGTTATGGCGCATCCCATATCGAAGATATTTCTGGCGTCATATCTCATGAAGTTTTATACCGACGTTGAAACCACTGGCTCTAGTTCCGAGTTTTACGACAAGTTTTCAATACGTTATCACATAAGTCTAATCTTAAAATCGATGTGGGACAGTCCGATACATCGAGCGTCTATCGTTAATGAGAGCAATAACGGCAAGCAATTCGTTAAGTTTATCAACATGCTGATGAATGACACCACCTTCCTGCTCGACGAGAGCTTGGAGTCCCTGAAGCGCATACACGAGGTACAGGAACTCATGTCGGACACCAGTGCGTGGGGCGCGCTCTCTCAGGAGCAACAACAGTCGAGAACGAGACAGTTGGCGGCGGACGAGCGACAAGCCAGGTCCTATCTTACACTAGCCAAGGAAACAGTTGCCATGTTCCATTATTTGACGGTCGACATTAAGGAGCCGTTCCTACGACCGGAATTAGTCGGGCGATTATGCGCCATGTTGAACTTCAATCTGCAACAGTTGTGTGGACCTAAGTGCAAAAATCTGAGAGTGAGAAAACCGCAGAAGTACGGGTGGCAACCAAGGACGTTACTCAGCCAATTGGTTGATATATATTTGCATCTTGACTGTGATAATTTCGCGGCCGCTTTAGCCAGTGATGAAGTGAGTGTCTTGAATTAGCCTTATAGCTAATCACACGTCGTACTACATCAAACATTTATATTTGCAGCGTTCATTCTGTAAAGAGTTATTCACCGATGCTGCGAGTAGGCTGGAGAGGTCTGCGATCAAAACCACTACGGAAATCGAGAGGTTCATAGCGCTCGCGGAACGCGCGGCGGTCATCGCGAGGGATAATCGTGCGCGCGACGCGGACTACGGCGACGCGCCTGAGGAATTCCGGGATCCGTTGATGGACACTCTTATGGAGGATCCGGTCAAACTACCGTCTGGCATTGTTATGGACAAAGCAGTGATCATTAGACACTTACTCAATAGTGCCACGGATCCTTTCAGTCGGCAGCCACTTAGCGAAGACATGCTCACACCAAGTAAGTACATCTTCCTCATCTTGCGTTTCATATTTTCTTTTTATATTTTTATATATGTATAATTTATTTTTCAAAGAAACAAGATTTTTCTGACTTGCTCGATAACGTTGCAAGCATTTTTATACGAAATATATTCTAAAAATATGTATTTGTGATGTCAGAGTTAATCGCGCAATATTTTCGATTTCAAGTGTCTTTCATGTCGAAATTTTTATAATACATTATTCCGACCTTAAAATGTAGAAACTACCAAAAGTTTATGTCCACTTGCGAAAAATATCAAACTGATGAATAATTATGATATTGCAGTGCTCGATTTGAAAGAAAGGATATCTGTGTGGAAACAACAAAAGAAAAAGTCGACAAACATATAAATGGTGCTAATATGACGAGGATTATGCGTGTAAAGATAAGAATAGAGAGGGGGGGGGGAGAAAGAGAGAGACAGAGACACAAGCATTACAATCCAATATAATTGTCGATATTGTATGATACATTTCATCAAATGTATGAATCACCCGACTAAAATGTATGATCCAGTGCAGTTGACGAATTTAGTGCAATGATCTCGCTATTGTGCAACAGTTGCGCTCAATAAATTTACAGTTTTTATACAATAAAATATTAACAGACTGCAGCTAGCGAACTGCCAATATTGCTCCAAACATACTTTAGAAACTTGTAAATAATTGTTGGCTACGCGTCAATATCCAAAATTACATTACTCGTAAATAAGCTCCTTTACTTTTTACGTCTTTTGATGTATGTGGCGGCGGGTAACATGTTTTGCACATATCCCGCGAAAACATTATGTTAAATAGCATAAACTACACGCGCGCGCGCGCGCCCACACACACACACACACACACACACACACACACACACACACACACACACAGTGATATAAATGACTACTATATACTTCCACGAACTCGGACATTTAAAAATAAAACGACGTTGACGTAAAAGCATAAGATTGATAATTCGATGATTTTAGCAGTACTATTACACTTAAAAATGCCACGCGTCACATTTGTAGTGTTTCATTCGCCGTTCTTCAAAAAAATAGTTCAGGGTAAATAATTACAGCGATTTATTGTTTATCTTACTTTTTTTTCAATTACATAATAAAATACATTTCAATCTATAGTCATATATATCATAGATATTATTAAACATCGAACTTGTTCGAGTTCATGTAAAGGAGATAACATAAGCATAATTGTTTTTTTACAGATATAAACACTATATCAAGTTTGCATTAGTATGAAGATATTTTGAGTTACACCCTTTGCTTTTAATATATACATATGGTAAATATGTTGTCATTTTAACTTTGAATTATATAGTAAAATACATTCAAGTATTTTCATCATTTCTGTGGCCTAGTTGATCATTACAGCCTAGTTTGATCACAACTTTGTCATATACACATATGTCATATGTAAAAACATATTTCCTGACTATGAATATATATGTACCCTTTTTACGTTATACAGAGATGAAATATCAATTAATACTTGAATACTTGATTATTACTTTGTGCTGCAAATATGGGTATGTGTAACATTCCGGAGAAATTACGATATTTTGTTTGGAAGTAATAATTGCATTTATCCAGTTTCTATTTAGAACTGATAATAATGATTCTTTTTTTTTTCTTTAATAGTGTCATACACACTGTTGCTACTTTGCAACAGTGTTTTTTTATATTTCACATATGCATCGCGATATAAATAGATTCATTGAAAACATCTATGAACATTCATGCCCATATTAAACATTATGAAAATTATAAAACTTCAATATTACGATTTGAAATATAATATTATTTAGTCCTCAATTTCCAAGTAATTTGATTTAAACGGCGAGTATTATTCAACAGTAAAACACTATGTATCATCACCGTTAAAACTGTATCTCTTTCTATACAAAAAGATGAGAAACTTGATACAAAATTCAGGACTGTTAAAATAGTGTATTCAGAATTATATTAGATAGTGATCTTTTTGGCATACTTTGTAAAATGTTTAAATTAAATATAAAAAGGAGACAGTTGGAGCATTTAATAATGTATTAATGAAACAAAAGGTACACACTGTTTGTATATATATGAATCCAAAAATAAGTTTGTCCAGTCTGACATTTGATATAATGTCTACACATATACTAATGTAATAACTTTTCTGTTCATGGGAGATTTATTTGAAATATTTGTAAATAATAGGATTGATGTAAAGTATTAAAATAAATTAAATCTATGCAAAGGAAAACATTTGGCACAAAAAGAAATTGTCACTGTCATTGAGACTGTAAAGATATTTATAGAATACAAGTATATACACTTGTATTCTATAAATAATTTAGCTATTTAGTGTTTAGTTATCTTAATTAAATATATATGGATTAATGAAGATGCTAAAACTAGAAATAACTGCTTGCCATTTTCAGTTTAAAAAATTAAAAAGAAAAAAAAAAAGAGTTTAATGAGTAATTCCTGGTTATCCTATCCTGTTCATCCTTTTCCAAACAATCTATTAGTTAAAAGAATATAATTCAGTTTCTTCTTCCCTTTGATCCAAATCTTCGAATATATTCAAGATTATTAAGCATTCTGCCTCGTCCATGACTCATTGTGTTACTAAATGATGCCACATCTTTGTTAGAATTATCACTGGTACATTCAGCATCATAATTAATCATTCTACCACGTCCAATAGCCATTGAGCTTTCGTAACTAATACATGATTCCACATCGCTAAGGCATATATTTTCATCGTCTAATTTGGAAGTTGAGAGAGTTGTAGAAAATCCTGTTGTTTCTTCCTGACTTTCTAAAAAGTCAATCTCACTTCTAGAATCATGTTCTTTTGGTGACGTGACTGTATCATGGCTTGTTGATGCTATAATCAAATTACATTCTAAATGCTATTTTTTATTTATATTAGAGAGATGTACTTATATGATTGCTATAATAAACATTACACATGTTGTGGAGCTTATTGAAGTCTCCAGTATACTTACGTTGAATATAACTCCCCTCAACGATATTTCTCGTAGAACATGTTTTAATGTGCTCTTCAATCTCATTTTTACTAAAACGATGAGTGGCGTTGTATGGACAGATACACATGTAATCTGACGGGTAATTCTGTTTAAAAATTTTTATGTTCAATACATTTTTCCCTATATAGAACATCGATAAACGACCACACCTTTATACAGCATTTTTATACCTTTTCGCATTTTACAAGATGTCGTTGAAATCTGAATTTAGATATAACATGATGTTTGTTGTATGGACATCGGAGTACCTCATTGTTGTCGAAAGAATTATACATTTTTTATGATATATAGTTTTAACACTTATGAATATTATAAACGTTGTGTGACAAAGCTATTAAATCGAATCTTATATGCCAAGTGCTTCTTTACAATTAAAATTTATAGCTACATCTGGCCTTGATTTAGTTCAATTTGATCCAAATCACCCAAAATTTAACGATTAGCAAATACGATTGAGGGGTTCAGAAGATAGAACACATTGATGACGTCTAGTGTACCGTGAAGGAATTTGGTATTACCAAATTGAGCAAGAATAATGGTCGGTAATATCGCAACCCTGTCTAATTATCTTTGAGGTGAAATTATTACAAAATACCGCAAGAAAGCAGGCTCATTTAATAAATGTGAGTTTTTAATCGTCATTGCGCTTTTCTATGCACTTTTATGGCCGGTGTTCAGCTAATGACACAAGTATCATTCTGTCTTCGATATTGAATATCCATTCTGACTTCGTTCGATATCCAATATAAAAAAAAGACAGAATGATACTTGCGTCGACTTGTGTCATTAGTTGGAAAGCGGTCTATAAATGTTCCTGAATGATGACATCACATCCGTGCATCGAGTATAGTGGTGTTGTGTGTAAAGTGAAATGCAGTGTTGATCGTACTAATAGACGCGAAAAATATGCTTTACGATTTCTCATTTGTGTATTATCAATTGAAAATTCTGTAATTAAGCGCCACGTCAATTATCAAGCATTTCTTGCGGAACGCAATTCGCTGAAAATAAAGACGCGTTCGGGTACGACGAACAGTATCCCGTAACGTATAGGTTAGATTCACAGGTTCTTGTGAAGATATGTCTGAGGAGAGGTCAGACATGGACATCGATAATCAGAGTGAGGACGGAGAGATTAAGAAGAGTCCATCGAAGGATATGGGTGATTACAGGTATTGAATATATATACATATTTTTTTTTAGTGTATCGTAATTTCATATAAGGTTTAAGAAACGACTATCCGTGGACCTTTTGTGGAAACGATTTTGTTTACAGCATAATTTCGATTTTTATCATCGAGAATTATAATTGTTGCATTTTATTAAATGAATTATGTGAAATAGTTAATATTTATAGGTTAGATAAAGACAATCGAGGCGCATGTATGCAATACACAATTATGCGCAACGAGAATTTTTTCAGTCTGTTTGTACTTGCTTTTGTCGGCAATACAGTATCCTTTCATTTAGGCACGATTAACATAATCTAACCTAACTTAACCTAACCTGACCTAATTTAATGTCATTTACGGTAGATACTCCTTTTTACATAAGTAAAAACGTATTGCATCGAAAGAAGAATGATGTTGCCTAGAACCTTAAGGTATTTAGAATATTGAAACACGATATGTCTTAATATATATTACGAACAATTTAGTTATTTACCTATTTACTCCTTATATAAGATTATACTTTCTGGTTTACTTTAGTGGTATATTAACTGTTTTATTGAATAATTCTCTCTATTCTCTTTTTTTTTCTTTTCTCATTATAATTTGTGACTATAGATATTTTAAGAAGCTTAATAGTAATTGAATTTAGACACAAGATCAGAATAAAAACTATAAAGATGTATAAATAGATTTGTGCAGATATTATATAGAATTAAAAGCAATATTAAATAGAGTAAGAATAACAAGTGATTCTATTTATAGTGATTTATTAATAAAACATGCATTTTACTTATAAATTTTTAACTTATTACTATTTCTTTAATTTAATGATTGTTTGATATTTCCAGCTTTTCAGAGGAAGAAGGTGGTGACACTGCTGATTCCTTGGATATTAAGCCACCACAAGCAGTTATTCGCCATCACAAGTCCAGTTCGTCTCGTCGAAGGGAAAAGCACAGTGATAAAAGAAGTCGCAGGGACGAGAAAGAACGCAAATCACGCCAGTATGAACGCGAAGATAGACATAGAGACAAACATAGGCATCGTAGGCATACTGGAGAACCTTTGGAAAGATCCGAACGTGGAATGGAGAGTTCCAAACGAAGTCGCGAGAGAATGAGTCGTTTAGATAGGATGGAAAGCCACTCCCGGGACAGAGAGTCGTCTAGGCACGATCGCAAGGAAAGAAGTACGGGCGATCGTGTTTTGGAAGATTTGCGAGAAAGGTGATTGTACTTTACACCTGTATTTTTTGTCATTTGTTTTTTGGCTATCTCATAAAAGTAGTTTTCTTTCTCAGTTTCTGTTTTTTTTCTTTCTGAATCCTAATTAAATATCTAATAATTTAAGAAAATATAAATTTTTTAGGTTGTTGGATAAGAGAAGAGAAAGACGAGAGGATCCGCGCGATGCTCGCGATTACAAAATTGAGTCGTCTCGTCGCGAATTGCGATTAGAGGATACACGAGAAATACGCGAATCGCGCGATCGACGAGATGTACGCATAGAGGAACTTCGGGAACGTCGTGAGATACGCACTATGGACGATGGAAGAGATCGTCGTGAGATTCGAATGGAGGAACAGAGGCACATACGCATGGTCGTGGACGAGCAGTTCTCGGAGAGCGAAATGATAGAACCGCTCGAGAAACGTCGCAAAAGGTCTCACAAGCACGATAGAAGTCGCGGGAGAGATCAAGAGAAGATGGAACGCGAGAAGGAGCACAGGGAGCTGCGTGAAGCTATGCAGATTGTAGCGATGGATATCATAGGCGATGATATTAATAAGATGGATGTGCAAAATGAGAACCCAATGCAGATTAAAGATCCAAAAGAAATGACAGAACAGGAACTTAGAAAGGAGAGGTTATTGGAAGCCGATAGGGAAATGGCCAGAAGAAAAGAAGTTTCTAGGATGGAATTGGAAGCGAGAAGAATGAAGAGAGGTGAGAAACGACCCATGAGTCCGGATAACAATCCAGACCCTTCGATCGTGGAGCTGTCAGACGAGAGCGGCAGTCTTCATTCGGAAGGTGCGCGCTCAAAATCAGCAGAGTCTAGGCATTCGTCGGAAGGAGAGAGAAGCCCGCATGACAGATCTTCGGACCGACGTTCGTCTGACTCCTCAGAATCGAGTAGCGATGACGACGACGATTCTAATGAATCTAATAAAGGATCCGGTGATTCAAATGACGGCTCAGATTATAACAATCCGAGTCCTCTGTCTGTTGATCGATTAGCCAAGTCCGATCATTCGGACGGAGACTCTCCTGGACACGTCGACTCCAACAATCCCTCGAAAAATACCGAAGAAGAGGAGAAGAAAGAGAAGGAACCAGAGTTGCCACCGTACCTGCCAGCTATTCAAGGTACGGTGAAAAATGTTATAAATCTAAATTATAATTATATTTAATAAAATCCTATTGTATAAATTCAACAGTCAAATTAAATGAATAAAGGCTAATACGAGAGTAAGATAATCTAAACGTGGATTCAAGCAATTTTCTTAAATAATGAAATGCTTAGATCTTTTTATCTTTAATTGGATCGACTCGCCTTTACTTTTATTGTTTCAATCTGATTTCAAGTCTTTAATATAAACTTGATCTCAAAATGCTATCATCTGTTACGATTTGTCAAATTGCATATAAAATACGTGTAGCTATAAATTTTCTACTTTCCAGGTTGTAGAAGCGTCGAGGAGTTTCAGTGCCTAAATCGAATCGAAGAAGGCACATACGGAGTCGTATACAGAGCACGCGACAAGCGCACAGACGAGATAGTCGCGTTGAAGCGATTGAAGATGGAAAAGGAGAAGGAGGGCTTTCCGATTACGAGTTTGAGGGAGATCAACACGTTATTGAAGGCACAGCATCCCAATATCGTTACCGTTCGGGAAATAGTCGTCGGCAGCAACATGGACAAGATATTCATCGTCATGGATTACGTGGAACACGACTTGAAGTCTCTTATGGAAACTATGAAGCAGAAGAAACAAGTTTTCATACCTGGTGAGTGAGTGATTCAATTCATCGCATAATGTAGAAAGTTAATTGAAGTACTAGGTGCAATGACATTATAAATCGAAGAATGAAAAAAAATATTACATTTTAACAAAGACACAAGTTAAAAATAATATGAATACATATTGGTGAGTGAATGAATTTAAAAGAATCGACGTTTGAATCTGTTGTAGGCGAGATTAAGTGTCTTATGCAGCAATTGCTGCTTGCGGTTGCACATCTGCATGATAATTGGATACTACATCGCGACTTGAAGACATCCAATTTACTGTTGAGTCACAGAGGCATCTTGAAAGTCGGTGACTTTGGCTTAGCACGGGAATATGGCTCTCCCTTGAGACAGTACACGCCGATTGTTGTAACGCTTTGGTACAGAGCACCCGAATTACTGCTGAGCGACAGAGAATATAGCACGCCCATAGATATGTGGTCTGTAGGGTAAGTACATTAATATCATTGCAAAATATAAATATAATTGTCGAAAATAGGAAAATTATCTCGATCAATTTTTATTAAAAATACTAATTGTAATAAATTACAATATTATTTGAAATTATACCGGTGTTATTAGATAAACCAAAGATACAAATGTAAATCACGCTTACGTGATATTCACTTTTCAGATGTATTTTCGCAGAGCTCCTAAGAATGGAACCATTGTTCCCTGGGAAATCGGATATAGATCAGTTGAATAAAATATTCAAGGAGCTGGGTACGCCGAGCGAGAGAATTTGGCCAGGCTATAGCAAATTACCCATGGTGCAAAAGATACCGTTTGCACATTATCCTGTAAATAATCTCAGACAAAGATTCAGTTTATCGTTGTCCGAGTTGGGTATCGAGCTGTTAAATAAGTAAGTTGAACGTTAGTATGTTAATAAGGTTAGTAGGTTGTATGTTAGTAACATAAATGCCTAAGAAAGTTTAATCATTCCGGTTTTTTCTGTTTCTTTTTTAGGTTTCTAACGTACGATCCCCGTCAACGTATAACCGCCGAGGATTCCCTCACTCATGGTTATTTCACTGAAGCACCTTTGCCAATCGATCCACAGATGTTCCCCACGTGGCCCGCCAAATCGGAACAGGGAACCAGAACCACGAACGCGTCTCCAAAACCACCGAGCGGCGGTAGAGAGTATAAACAATTGGGCGACGGTGACGACGCTGACTTGAGCAATTCTGGCTTTCATATGGGTTTGACGGAGGGCGGCAGAGCACCGCCCGTCGGTGGTGGTTTTCATTTGAAGTTTTAATTGCGAGAGAACATTTTTTTCTTTCGAATCACCACACTGTAATTATAGATTTTTTTTTTTTTTTTTTT